CGTTAGAGATCGATGGCGGAGTAGGAGTGGCGCTAGAGGTGTCGGCGCCCTGAGAAGAAAGAAGGTCGTTAGAATCATTGTGGCTGCTATCCAGTGTGTGAGGCGAGGGGTGGAAAAATAACGGTATACACATTTGGGCGCAACCTATATTGTGCCTGACGTGTTGCTGTTGTAAAATTCATTCTCCAAAGCTCTAGACATGAAAAAGTTGGCGAGTTAGCTCAAAAACATGGCTACTGTAGTTTAGTGGCAAAACTCCACGTTGTGGCCGTGGCGCCCCTGGTCCGATTCCAGGCAGTAGCACAATTGCGGGTTCAACGCCTGCAATACATTTTTTGTTCTCTGCCAATTATTTTATTTGTACAATTTTTATTCCAGCAATAAACCTCCCGGCTCAATCATCAGCATCTCTCTCCCCTTTTCCACTTGTATTTTATTCTAATTTATGCTCGACTTTGCCGGACGCCAGGTGTCGCTCCCTTGCAACGGATTCCTCGGCGCCTGCACAGACGTCGATGCCTACGACAAGCTCAACCGCATCGGCGAGGGCACATACGGCATAGTCTACCGTGCCCAGCACCGAAGGTCAGGGAGCATCGTCGCGCTGAAGCGCATGCGAGTGGACGTCGGCAGCGGCAGCAGCCACGGCCTGCCACTGTCCAGCTTCAGAGAGATTGCCCTGCTCACGAAATTTTATAAGTACCAACTGGTAAGTATCGTTCGGTCTCTCTTTTAAAATGTATTTAGATTTTTGCAACGTCTATAGCCGACACGCGCAGCATCGTATGGCGATTTCTGTGGTAGGTGACCTTTTGGTGGGCTGTGCGCCGCTTTTTCTTGGTAACCGTAAATAGCTTACCGTCCGGATGCTCGATGACGGTTGCCTCGATCTTGAACAAGCCAGAGTCAATGAATGGCTGTCCCTTGATTGTATAGTCTCTGGATCCCAGCTCGGTTACTTGGTTAAGAGCCAACGAGTCGCCTAGTTCCAACTCTTGGATGCGATCCATGACGATAATGTCGTTTTGCGTGACCGTAAATGGGCGCCCCTTGATAACCACTGTGGCATAGTACTTTTGCTGGTCGCGCAGGCGGTTTATCAAGTCGACTGACCCTGCCGACCACTTTGTAGGCGGGCTAGTAGCTGCCGCTGCTGCTGTGGATGCAGGAGTTTGAGACGAATGGAGCGCACGAGTCGAGATTTGCGGCAATGCGGTCCGAATTCCAAAGGCCAAGCGCACGAGGTTGGAAGAAGACATTTTCCAATACAATTTTGAACTAAAGAAAAAGAGTGAATCTATAATTGCGGAGCAGAAAGTTTGCGCGTTGGGATGAGTAAAATTGTTGCCCAATGTGAGACAGGCCGTGATCGGGCGCTTATCGTGATCACCGAGAATCACAGCGAGACGGCTTTATCGCACTGGACTGCTTGGGCTATCGGCGACATTTTCCCTCTTTTTTCACCTTGCCTTTATTATCGCTAGTTTTTTATTTTTCAACCAGCTCGATTTATTTACAATGCTGAAGAACGTGTCTCGCCTTGCTTCTGCTACTCGCGTGCCTGTTGCCCGTGCCATGGTACGTGTCGTGATTGTGCTAATCTTCTTATCAGTTCCCGATTTTCCGATAAATGTCGATTCAGAGTTTTTTAAATCGTATTTACACAGCTGAATCTAACCACACCATGTTTTGTTTGAAATTTGATTGTGATTCACATTTTAGGCTCGCGCCGCTGCCCCCGCTGTGGTTCGTGCTCTGTCGACTTCGGCTCCTGCCCTTGCTGGTGCCAAGCCCGCCGCCTCCGAGGTCACTTCGATTCTTGAGGACCGCATCTTGGGAGCTGCCAACAAGGTCGACCTTCAAGAGACCGGCCGTGTGCTGTCCGTTGGTGACGGTATTGCCCGCGTCTATGGTCTGAAGAATGTCCAGGCCGAGGAGATGGTTGAGTTCTCGAGCGGTGTTCAGGGCATGGCTCTCAATCTCGAGGCTGATAATGTCGGTATTGTCGTGTTTGGTAACGATCGTCTTATCAAGGAGGGTGACACCGTCAAGCGCACTGGATCTATTGTCGACGTTCCTGTCGGCGAGGCTCTCCTCGGCCGTGTTGTTGATGCTCTGGGTAACCCCATCGACGGCAAGGGCCCCATCAAGACCTCCCAGCGCTCGCGCGCTATGGTCAAGGCGCCTGGCATTATCCCCCGCCAGTCGGTCCACGAGCCTATGCAGACCGGCATCAAGTCTATCGACTCTATGCTTCCCATCGGTCGTGGCCAGCGTGAGCTGATTATTGGTGATCGCCAGACCGGCAAGACCTCCGTCACCCTCGATACCATCCTTAACCAGAAGCGCTGGAACGATGGCAACGACGAGACCAAGAAGCTGTACTGTGTATACGTCGCTATTGGCCAGAAGCGTTCGACCGTTGCCCAGTTTGTGCAGACTCTTGAGGAGAACGACGCTCTCAAGTACTCGGTTGTCGTTGCTGCCACCGCCTCTGAGGCTGCTCCTCTCCAGTACCTGGCTCCCTACTCTGGCTGCGCCATGGGCGAGTTTTTCCGTGACAACGGCAAGCACGCTCTGATCATCTACGACGATCTGTCCAAGCAGGCCGTTGCCTACCGTCAGATGTCCCTTCTGCTGCGTCGTCCTCCTGGTCGCGAGGCCTACCCCGGTGACGTCTTCTACCTGCACTCGCGTCTGCTTGAGCGTGCTGCCAAGATGAACAAGAGCTTTGGCTCGGGCTCGCTGACTGCCCTGCCCATCATTGAGACCCAGGGTGGCGATGTGTCTGCCTACATTCCTACCAACGTCATTTCCATCACTGACGGACAGGTGTTCCTGGAGGCTGAGCTCTTCTTCAAGGGTGTGCGCCCCGCCATTAACGTTGGTATTTCCGTGTCGCGTGTCGGTTCGGCTGCCCAGACCAAGGCCATGAAGCAGGTTGCTGGCTCGCTCAAGCTCTTCCTTGCCCAGTACCGTGAGGTTGCTGCCTTTGCCCAGTTTGGCTCCGATCTCGATGCGTCGACCCAGTTCTTGCTGAACCGTGGTGCCCGCCTGACTGAGATGTTGAAGCAGCCTCAGTACACTCCTCTGTCCGTCGAGGACCAGGTCGCCATCATCTTTGCTGGTGTCAACGGCTTCCTGGACAAGATCCCCACCGCTCGCATTGTCGAGTTTGAGCAAAAGTTCATTCCTTTTGTCCACTCGAACCACCGCGACATCCTCGACACCATCCGCACACAGGGCAAGATCGACGAGGCTACCGAGAAGAAGCTCCGTGAGATCACCGGCGACTTTGTCAAGGCTTTTATCTAAGCCTCTAG